TATATATATATATATATATATATATATATATATATATATATGTGTGTGTGTGTACTATATATTTATATATAGTATATATATTTACATATTTATGTTTCATATTAAATATAAATATATTACATATATTTCTTTAATACATGTATGTGTGTGTATATATATACTATATATATATATATATACATGTGTGTGTGTGTGTGAGTGTGCATATTTATATAGTTTTTTTAATTAATTAATTTATTCATTAGGGGTTCAAGCACAAAGCAAATTTTATTATTATTTAGATTTTATGATATTATTATTGTTATTATTATTCTGCCCTAACACTGATTGGACAGACCAAAAAAAAAACTACTTTTGTGAAGTAGTCCTAATTTTTTCATTAATCAATCATTTTAGATCAATAATTAACCCCCAAAAAAGTTGAAATTTAGTATTTGGATGGTTATAATGATCATATATACCAAAATATACCAAATAAAAGCCTTTAATTTCTAAAAAAGAACCTCTGAATTTCACAAAATAGGAAAGAACATGTGACGTATAGTCCTAAAGAAGCAGGCAAACTTTCATAAAGATGTTTAGGTATCACTGTAACAGTTATAAAGCTCAGAAAGTTTGTATTTTTATGGTAAATTACCAGACATTTCTTTAAAATGGTCTATTTCATTTAGAGGTGTGCTAAATAATGCGTAGTATTTTTTTTTAACCATGCTCTTGAAGGTCTTACAGCGCTTGAACCCTCATATTTATTTTATTCACAACTCAACAAAGCCCAGTTTGGGAAAAGCCCTGAGCGACTTTAACACTTTTGCATTCGTGAGGAAGAATATACACTTAAAATGCAAAAAAAAATGTGCTGAAAGTTTGTTTGTTTTTATCCACGGACAGAAAATCGAAGCGTTTGCCGCGAGCTGCAGCGCTGCCATCGCTTCTCTTCAGAGCTCCATCGAGACGCTGAACAACATCGGCAGCCTGGAGACGTCTGAGGTTATTCTGACAACTCAAACTGAGTCTCTGATCATTCTCTACAGCAGCGTCATTGAAAATGATTTAAATGGCTTTGTTTACTGGCATTCCCTTTGCTAAGCCCCGCCTTCAGAATGTTTCTGACCAATCCAAGCTTAGCTACTGTTGCCTTCTGATTTGTTACTTCGTAGGGTCACAACGTAACACTTTTTGACTTTCTCAGTTTGTGTAAATGCACATTAAATAAATAATGTGGATAAATGTTTTTATCCACATTCATTTCACACTTGTCTAGTACAAATATATGGCTTTGTTTCGTAATTATAGTGTATACGTTTTTCTTTATTTACACCAGAAGAATTGAAGTGAAATGTGACAACATGCCCCGTAGGTGGGGTACATTGTAACATCTGAGGAGCACGTTGTAACATGATCAGATGACAGCTTAAAATGTTATCCGATCTAATGAAAAAAATTTTTTTTAAAAACTAAAATATTTTGTCAATAAAATAAAATTATTAACTTTTTCAAATAAAATAATGGCGGTTTTTTAATAATTAAAAATCATGTATTTTTGGACTTTGACAATGAACACATTGCAACCATGCTTGTGACGGCCCTGATCACAAGACACACAGTTCAAAACTATATGTGGGCAAATAGATGAAGAAAATCACAACACACACAGCTCTCACAGAACACGAGACACATAAACGAGCCAAAATGCTTTACATTTCTTAAAATAATCATTTCTGAACATGAAACCTCGTGGTTTCTCATTAACATGTATAAAAGTAATTAGTGTAAATGACACCTCGAATGTCATAGAACAGCATAGTTCTAATAACACAGTGTTACAAAGCTCCCCATCTGCGCAACTGGAATTTAAAACCGGTTCGTGTCTTTTGCTAGTTATCGAAGCATTAAAGAACTGCTAAATAACAGATTAAAATAATAGCAGATGTGTTTCATTTTAAATGAATACTAAAAACGGAGATCAAAAATTTACTTCATTCAGAAATGTACTTTTGCTATGGTAAAATAAATGTTCAGCGATATCTTTAAAAGATTTTTGAATTTTGGCACACTTTTTTTCTCTATATAGTGTTGATATGGCAACCAGTAAAAACCCTGTAATGTGTGTGTGTGTTTTTTTTTTAATGTAACGCAATGCAAGTTCAGTGTGAGGGGCGGAGCTTCACTCAGGCTGATTATTATTGATGGATTATTATTGAATATTGATGGTCTGTGCTCCTGCAGGAGGTGTCAGAGGTCATCAGCCAGCAGAAGAGTCTCATGAAGAGCGTTCTGGACGACACCAAACTCAACCGCCTGCGTCTGGAGGGCGGCACCTTTCTGGCCCGCATCCGGAAAGAGGAGATGTGTGAAAACGAGAACTACAGGTACAGTACTGCCTTCATCAGACGACTGACAGATGCTTCATTTAATATCAGTGGGATATTGGCCTGTCTGAATCAATTAGATGAGCCCTAATTATTTTTCCTTTCTTTAAAAAGCCTGTATAACACTGACTTTAGTTTTTACGCCCAGCCCTGTGTTATTAATTACATGCACACACTCCTGTCAATCACTGTCGGGATTAATCATGCCATGCACGTCATCCATCTGCTTTAATTCAACCTAAATGACACTTATTACACTTACTGCATAAATAGTTATTTTCCGGTGAAACTATCCAAACACCCTGAAAACAAGTCTTATTGTACACAATTTTGCTTCTCAAGAAATGTATAATTTATATTTTTAACACTCTTAATTAAAACAACATGCATTTAAGCAAAATTATCTTAAATGCTATTCACGTTATTTTTATTATGCCATTGGTATATTGTTTTTTTGTTGTTGTTGTTTTGAGTAAAAATGGGAGACAAATCCACTTCATTTAAGTCACTTCATTTTGCTTCTCAAGAAATGTGTTTTCTTTTTTAGACGAAAAAAGTGACGCTCCATCATGCAACCTTGAGAAAGTTAACATTTTTGCTGCATGAGTAAAATAAGAGGCCACAAAAAAAGTCATTTTTTACCAAATAATGTTTAAAAACACTGATGCCGTTTAGCTGTCCTGTAGTGTTTGACTGGAGCTGCTGTGTGGTACGTAGGGACGCTGTGGATCTGGTCGGTGCGCTGTATAACCAACTGGATGAAGAGGTTCATAAACTGGTCATTCTGTCTAATAAATCCCTGCAGCAGCTGGAGAAGCTCCTGGAGCTGCGTGTTTTACAGGAGAGACACCAGGAGGTCAGAGACGCCATCTTTCTCAATCATTTTCTCTATAGGCATTTTAAAGCTCTCAGTGTGGAAAATAAGGCATTGTGATTATGCAATCAAATCACTCAGGGCTTTGTGTTTTTAGATCTCAGTTTTTGATCAGAAAACACAACCACACACAATGCTACAACATCCCATGTTAACTATTAATAGGGTAGCATGCAGAGCTGGGTAGATTGCTTACAAATTGTAATCCGTTACTGATTCCAAGTTACATGACAAAAATTGTAGTTTGTAACGTAATCCATTACATTACACATTTTAGGTATAACAGACTACTTTTTGATTCGTTTTAGATTACTTTTGACCTGTTTCGTTTTTCACATTGATTTAAATAGGATAATCTTGTACCATATTGATATAAAAGATACAAAGAGTAAGAAAATAAATTCCATTTGTTGTTATCAACAACATAAAATGCATTAAACATTATATGTGACCCTGAACCACAAAACCAGTCATAAGGGTCAATTTTTCGAAATTGAGATTTATACATCATCTGAGAGCTGAATAAATAATTTTTCCATTGATGTTTGTTAGGATCGGACAATATTTGAAAATCTGGAATCTGAGGGTGCAAAAAAATCTAAATATTGAGAAAATCGTCTTTAAAGTTGTCCAGATGAAGTTCTCAGCAATGCATATTACTAATCAAACATTCAGTTTTAATATATTTATGGTCGGAAATTTACTAAATATCTTCATGGAACATGATCTTTACTTAATATCCTAATGATTTTTGGCATAAAAGAGAAATGTATAATTGTGACCCATACAATGTATTGTTGCTATTGCCACAAATATCCCCCAGCGACTCAACACTGCTTTTGTGCTGCAGGGACACAAATTATGTCAAGGTTTCCCAAACTGGGTTTGTGAAGGAACTACAGGGGGGTTATGAGTTTAATGAAAAGCTAATAATTAATTATAAATCATAAAAATGGTAAATTAAAACAAATCATTTTAAAATGAATCAAAATAAAACACTTACTGAAAAAATGAAATATTTGATTTGTTTACTTGCGTGTCATGCGACCATAACCAGTGTCAGAGCATCATGAACATGCAAACGTTTACATGCATGCATCATTAACATAAAATCTATTTTCTAAAAAATCTAAAATGTATTTTAAAAAGAGGTACTTCAAATAAAAATATAATAGGTGAAAGAGGATCAGATGACAAAAAAGTTGGTGAATATGTGCGTTTTATTTGTGCAACTTCCAAATTTGGTAAAAAAAACAGATTGAGTGATAATTCAAATAGAAATTAATTAATGTGTTCATCAGTAGTGTTGATGCAGTGTTAAAACGTGTCTTAAAACTGAAGTGATTTTTGTAAATCCAGTGTCAAATGCTGTGTAGCCTGTGTATTTTCTGTTTAATTACTTTGTGTGGCTGTCCACAAAACTAGAAGACATTCTGAGTATATATAAGTGGTAGGCTTTTTAGAAAGGAACATTTAAAACATGAAACAGAGGAATTAGGGAGAATCAAGGAATTATGAATAAATTATTGCTGTTGTGTGAATAATATGTAATCATGTAATCCATAAAAAAGTAACTGTAGTCTGATTACGAGTAATTTAAAATTGAATTGGTAACACTTTATTTTAGGGTCTCTTAACTAGTTGCTTATTAGCATATTACTAGAATATTAGCCATTTTGCACATGACCTTATTCTACATCCCTAATCCTACTAAATACCTAAACCTAACAACTACCTTACTAACTATTAATAAGCAGCAAATTAGGAATTTATTGAGGGAAAAGTCATACTTAATAGTGAATAAGTGTTCCCTATTCTAAAGTCTTACCATTTAATTTAATCTAATTACAAGTACTTCATTTTTGGAATCTGATTACGTAATCCAGATTAGATGCAATCAGTTACTACCTAGGGTTGTGACGGTGAGGAAATTTTCCCACCGGTTAATCGACGTGTGACAACACCGGTAATACCGGTATCACTGTTGGGGTGGGGGTGTTATTTCGTTTGAGTTTCCCTCTTTTCTTTGCTTTCAAATGGCTTGTAAAACACGCTGCGCCGTGCGTGTTTTACTTTCACTTTCAAATTAGCGCCAATCCTGCGTTGATTCAATTCAAGCAACAACAACATCAAACTCAGAACTTTTATTAACAAAACGAATAAAAATACACCATATATGCCTAATAAAATAACAAATTACTTAGGCTACACAAAGTTTAAATAGGCATATAAAACTGAAAATCAGCAAACACCGTGGAACCAAATAAATAAGAAACATAGAACGTTTATTAGCAAAACGAATAAGAAAGCTTGGAGGCACGGCATATACACCTTGATATAAAAGAAATAAAATACACAAAGTTTAAATAAAGTAATCAGCAAACACTGTAAAACTTCCAGTCAATAGGCTTTTCGTAGGCTTTTGTTGCCGCGGTAGGCAAATGACGTAACCAGTGTTGCGGTTTAACACCGGTATAACCCGAAAACACCATCTATCGCAGCAAGCCTGTTACTACCCAGCTCTGGTAGCATGCTAGAATATATTATCATGTGTTCATACTGTATGTTATTATCATTAAAAATCACCTTGTCTGTGGAGTAAATGAATGATTTTTTTTTCTGAATGATAAATGATTATTGGAGAGCCTGTGTGCTGATAATGTGTCTGTCCTCAGGTTAAGAGGTGGTTTTATGTGGAGAGTGAGAAGCATTTGGCTCCTCTGGACTCCTACAGTCTCTCTCTGAGCTGCATTCAGGACATGAGACAGAGTCTGGCCCAGTTCATGGAGGAGTCCACCGTAAGTGCTGCATGCTTTGAGAAATCACACGGAGATAAAAGAGAACTGGCATTTTACTGTCCCAGGATGCACTTGGGGAAATTAAATTAGTTCAAGAACAGGTTTCAGTCTCAGCAACAGCCGGTTTGGTCTGGGCAAAGCTGAACCATTTTTACTAAAGTGACAGAAGATACAAATGTTGATAATTGCAGTTTACAGGGAAAATATGGTGATGATATAATGCAGTTAACAGGGAAAACACACACTGGATGACAGCAAAATAAATATGACAAACGTGAACATCAAATTTTTATGTATTATATATAATATTATGTATAATATATCAACATAACACATATTTTATTTTATTTATTTCCTTTATTTATTAGCATAGCTTAATTTATTATTCCTTTATTTATTTATTTATTTATTTATTTATTTTTACGTCAGGGTTATTATCATTAACTAAAACTAAAAACATACACACACACACACAAAAACATATTTGTCTCAACATTTGCCACTTTTGTTAATTTAAAGGGGTGGTTCATTGCGATATCACTTTTTTAACGTTAGTTAGTGTCTAATGTTGCTGTTTGAGAATAAACAATATCTGCAAAGTTACAAAGCTGAAAGTTCAACGCAAACGGAGATATCGTCTTTTAAAATTCTGTCAGTTTAATGCCTACAAAAACGGCTGGTAGGGACTACAACGAGCTACTTCCCGGGTTTGTGACATCACAAACCCAGATAAACCCCGCCCTCGGGAAAAGGCAGCAAAGGGGGCGAGGCCATGCTGCGCTGCTTTACAGAAGAGGAAGAGAAAACTAGAGGTGCACGTAAAAATCTATTCATATATGAATCGCGATTCTGTCTTCTAACGATTCTAATGTATTCACAAGTTTCAAAATCAGTGTTCTAAAGCAGCGGTTCTCAATACTGTTCCTCGCGTTCCCTGCTCTGCACACGCTCTGCATCTCTCTCTCTCTCTCTCTCTCAGCACAGCTCCAACAACGAACTGTTACAATTATACACGTATTTTCACATAGCTATGAGAAGCGTTAAACATGGACACGTGTGCAGTTGCCGTACTGTATTAAAGCTTTAATCAGGATAAAACTGTATATTAAAAGCTAACATAAGCAGTAGCATTTACAAATAAAAGCGTATCTAAAAGTATGAGACAACAACAAACAAAAAACATAGGCCTACCATTAAAAGCCGTGCTTGCACAGGTTCTGCACGATCCTCTTCAATAATATCCTCTGCTTCTCAATCAGCTCAAACTGATAAGCGATATTAAAGACGCCGTTGTTTACAATACAACCAGAGCACATGCCGCTGAAGTGAGGGGCGGGACGTTAAGACACGCACTAGAGGCGGTTTAGCCAATCACAACACACTGGGCTAGCTAACCAATCAGAGCCCATCACCTATTTCTGAGGGAGGGGCTTCATAAAAGCAGGAAATGATCAGCACGTTTCTCAGAGAAGGGACAGAGCGGTGTGGAATAAAGGTAAATTACGTTAGCATTAAGACATGTTAGACTGCACCCCATAAACACAATCAAGCCTAGAAAAAAAACAGTGAACCACCCCTTTAATTTTATTTTTACTTTTTTAAACGATTACTTTTTCTGTTTTATTTATTTACTTATTTATTATACCTACTGATCTGCTACTTATCTATCTATCTGTCCTAGCGACATGCTAATACTAACAACATGCTAGTAACTTGTTAATCATGCAAGAAAAATGCTAGTCACTTGCTAATAATGCTAACAGCATGCTAATAATGCTAGCAACATGCTAATAATGCTAGAAACATGCTAGTAGCTTGCTAATCATGCTAATGACATGCTAGTTACTTGTTAATCATGCTAGCAACATGCTAGTAGCATGCTAATAATGTTAACAACATGTTAGTTACTTGTTAATAATGCTAGCAACATGCTAGTAGCATGCTAATAATGCTAACAACATGTTAGTTACTTGTTAATCATGCTAGCAACATGCTAATCATGCCAGCAGTATGCTAGTAACAGGCCAATCATGTTAAAAACATGCTAATCATGCTGGAAACATGTTATCAACATCTATCTAATCTATGTAAATTTTCAAACTTCAGACTTTTACTACTGCTTTAAACTTTCAGGCTAGGGTTTCTCAAGCCAAACTAAAGTTTGTCTTTACAAACTTTTTTCTCTAGTTATGTGTTGTTATGTAGCTGTAACGTTTTTTATATATATAAAAAATATAGAAAAGTTTCGTAAAACCACAGTAAAAAAAATAGTGTAGGGCAACATTGAGGCGAATCATATTAAAGAGTCTTAAGTCACTTTGGATTAGTGGTCCTATGAATGACTAGCTAGTTCACTTGGTGTTGGTATTGCTCCTGTAGGAACAGCAGAAGAAAGCCGCAGCGTTACTGAGGGAGTCTGAAGCAGGTCCAGCTCTTCTGGAGGTCAAAGAGCACATCAGCTCCGTCCTGCAGCGCAGCGAAACTCGCAAACACGAGCTGGACGTTCTGCTCAACCTCTACGAGTTCTACGAATCGGTAACGACTGTTTTGATTGCTTTATGTCTCGTTAGCTGCATCATATCAACTATTGTCATCATAATTAGTGGTTGACTAATATAGGAGTAATATTGAACTGAAAGATAACACAAGTACACCAACTGATTCAATTAAATGTATATTTATTTTACATAATATTCATTAAATAATCGGAAATGAATAATTAAAAAAATGTATCTGTTTTAATCTTTTCTCATTTAAAAAAAAAGTAATAATTTGAACTTGATTAAAAAAAAACTGATTTAAACCAAATTTAGTTATTTTCATGAACTAAATCTAAAGCATAAAAACATTCATTATTTAAAATAAACATTAATTGAAATAAAATAATAATTGTTTAATTTTAAATTAAAATGATAACAGAAAATATACAAATAAAATGTAATTTGAGTTTTTTAAAAACTATAATAGTATATCAGTGATACTAAAATAACACTAATTTATACTTGGGAACTATAAACTAAAACTGGAATAAAAATAAATTAAACCTAAATGGTATAAATAGTATTAAACAAAAATAAAAGTGACAAAAGCAAAAAATGTAAAAGAAAATAAACTAAAAAAGAAAGAAAGAAAACTGAAAATATAAAAATAAATCCTAATTAGTAATTGTAATAAAATTCTCAGCGCCATCAAAATAAAAGTCCCCCAAGTAGAGCTGGGCGATATGTAGCTAAAAAATTGATCAACGATATAATGTTTCATATCGTTCAGTATCGATAATGATTGACATTTTTTATAACCTTTTTTAAAACAAAGAGCAATAGAAACATTTTTTTTCAATTTAACCACTGTATTTTTAAACTAACCCAATTTATTGAGACAAACAACAAATATTTTTTGTTTTAACAGTCAAACACAAAATAAAAATTAAACAAACATCTTATTTCTAATGTTTTCTATGCAGATTAAATAGGTTTTAAGGAAGCGTTTGGCTTGTCTCCCGAGGCCACAGGAGGGCGCAATGAGCAAAATATTGCAGCGCATTTAATTGTCAATGCAAGGAAATAACTGTCTATAAAAAAAACGTGCATTACGTCTAAATTAACTCATATAAATCAAATATAATTTCGTAAATTGCATAAACAATTATGAGCAAAACAGCATTACGTATTTATGCATTGCTTAATCCAAAGAGCCGAAGTGCCATTCACTCAGACTGCATTTAAAAACATATGAGACGCAGTGAAAAGGACCAAATCGTTCCTGATGTGTTTTCTAAAAGTTTAAACTGTTTTAACTTCGCATGGCTTTCTATACATCTCTCTGTGTGAGACGTGAGTGCAGCAGTCATATGTGTCCGTCTAAAAAACATGCTGAATATGCATCTGTGTGAATGGCTTGCTTTCGTTTTTAAACTAATCAAGATCTTCTAAGCATTGAGCTACTACAGTATATTTCTCTAATATTTTGAACGAATAACGCAGGAGCGGCGCGTCTCGTGGGCTAGACAAACAAAACATTAAAATGCAACAACGTCACTTACATCATCACCACTAATCTCGTGCTCCGCTGATGACGCACACCTAACATTCGATTGTACTATTTTTGCATTCAAATGCAAATGTTTATTTTAAATTCGACTAATATTGATGTTTTTATTCACAATCTCCTCATCACAGGCAGGCACAGCACTCAGCATGTGTTCGTGTTTGTGTGTGCGGTCTGCATCTCTTAATAGCACGTGCCTATAACGTGCACTATATCGAGTATTTTTATATCGTTATCGAAGAAGGTGTACCGTCGATAAATACCGTCGATACCGTTTTATCGCCCAGGCCTAGCCCCATGACACTTATCAGCCAGACAGAGGAACTTATCGGCCGATGCAATAATTAAAAAAGCCTCTTCTGATAATGTGTTGAACTGTGTGTCCCGCAGGCGAAGCAGTGGATGGAGCACTGTCAGGAGTATTTCTGTCAGCTGAGGCTGGATGGAGACGCGCTGGGTTTGACGCCGGCTGAGCTGCAGGTCCTGCAGGACTATCACAGCGAGGCCACAAAGTTCTCTCTGGAGAACTTCAGCTCGCTCAACCAGACGGTGCTGAAGCTGGACAGCGAGCGGGAGCAGCAGCGCTGGAGCAGTGTCTGGCAGCAGTGCCAGCAAACCAGACAGCAGCTGGAGGAGACGCTGGACAGAGCCGGTAACTCACACAGACGGACAGAAATATCAGTTATAGAAGAACTCATTCAACAAAAATAATTATATTTATCTGTATTTTTACTGTTGTTCTGTGTAAAAAAGAAAAACAATAATGAACATAATAGTTGTTGTTATTGTTATTAATATTAAATATCCCTTTTTTATTTTACAGCATAGTATTAATATATATTAGTAATATATTTTGCATTATTATTATTATTATTAAATACTCAATATTTATTTCATAGAATAGTATTATATTAATTGTGATGATAATGATGATGATTATTATTAAATCTCAATGTTTTTATTTTACAGTATAGTATTATTGTATATTAGTCATATGTTTCTTATTTTATTATTATTAGTATTAGTATTAAATATACCATTTGTATTTTACAGTATAATGGTGTTATATAGTAGTAATAGTATTTTTATTTTACAGTATTGTACTATTATTACAGCTGTATATTAGTAATATATCTTCATTGATTATTATTAAATAAATATTCTATTTTTTACAGCATTGCTTTATTATATATTACTAATATATCTTCATGTATTATTATTGTTGTTATTATGTTTTTTATTAAATACACAATTTTTATTTTATAGTATAGTATTATTGTAAATATAATATATTTTTACATTGATTATTATTATTAAATACAAATTTTTTATTTTACAGTATTGTATTATTACATATGTAATATATTTCTTCATTTATTATTATTATTTATAAAAAAAAAAAATTTTACAGTATATTATTATTGTTATATATTCGTAAAATATTTCTTCATTGATTATTATTATTGTTATTATTACTATAAAAATATTTTTACAGTATAATATTATTACAGTATAGTTTTAATTAACCGTAAACAACAACAATAATAGTAATCATTCTAATTATAATTCCTGTCCATTCTGTCTATTGTGTATTCTTTAAAATATTTTCATTACTATTTTATTAATGTTTTTATTATTGTGCTATATTTCTTGCCTTTTCGTCTATGTCTGTATTTTTTCTGCAGTGGAAGCTTCAGTCAACAGTGTAAGTAATGCGAGTTACATAATCAGATTACTTTTTTAAAGTAACTAGTAAAGTAACGCATTACTTTTGAAATTCGAAGGAAATATCTGAGTTACTTTTACACATACGTAACGCCAGTTACTTTGCGTCTCATGCATTGACTGACTGCTCTCCTTTCCTCATGTTGAGAGAGAACAAGTGCAGAGAACATCAGTGAACATGATCTTACTGTAGTTCTAGACTAAATATGAACATGTATTTACTCACCTCACCTGCACAAAAACAGATTCAGTGTTCCTCAAAATGAATAAAAACAGGCAAATGCAAACTCAGAATATTATACAAATCTGCAATAATTAAATGTGTTAAATAAGACAAATATAATTTATGTATTTAATCCCATTTTATTACCCAAAGTATTTGCTACTGACCTTCGATGATCCAATTCAACCATACTACGCAAAAATGACGCTTTTGTGTTTGATTTGTGTTATTGCTGAATAGTGTTGAACTTTCTTCTCCTGCGTCATATTCTTCATGCAATCTGTTTGAGCGGCGCCCTCTACTGTACAGACGTGAATTTACTTTTCCTTCAGCCTGAGGCTTATTCGTCTCATTTCTGTTGTGAAAGGGCTTTTACATACTTTTTTATATTAAAAACAAACAAGCAAGCCCTGCCCAGATTTAAAAAGTAACTCAAAAGTAACGTAACGCATTACTTTCCATAAAAAGTAACTAAGTAACATAATTAGTTACTTTTTTAGGGAGTAACGCAATATTGTAATGCATTACTTTTAAAAGTAACTTTCCCCAACACTGGTCACCAAGACAGATTTCTTGCGTGTGTAGAAATACTTAGTAATAACTCTGATTTTGTTTCTGACAGAGACCGTATCGAATCCTGCGGAGACTCAGAACGGACTGGACTCCTCTGAGGTTCCTGCTCTGAACTCTTCTTCGCCTCCGTGTTTTGAGGATGAAGATGAGAAGCCACACTCAGCAGGTCCGTTTTCCAGAAGCCAGTTCCCGTTTCCCCCGTCTGCGTTTGAGGACACTGACAGCGACTGCACCGTCGACTCGTCCGCCTCGTGTCACTCGGAGCCGCTGCATTCACCGGCGACGCGCCTCCTCAAGCAGCCGCTCAAGAAGATCATGAAGAAGACACTGAGCTACGAGCTGCCGGCACGGGACAGAGCTCCTCATGGCTACAGCGGCGTCTGCATCCGAGGACTGGAGGTCTCCAATAACGCCAAGAACCCGGCGCTGGGCCGCAGCCGCAGCATGTCGTCCCCGTCCCGCGCTCAGTGCAGACACAGTGACACAGACACCAAGAGACACAGCGGGTGAGTGACGCGCAGAACATCTCGCTTTCAGACCGAAACATTACTAATTATAATAAATCAGAATTATTATTATTATTTGTATTTTTGCTGTTGTTCTGTAAAAAAATTACTATTAGTAGTAGTAGTAGTAGTATTAATAATCATAATAACAGTAATGATAATAGTAATAATAGTAATAATAATTATTAGTAGTAGTATTTTATTTTGTCATATTATTACTATCCTATTATATATTTCTTTATTGATGTAACGTGGAGGCGTGACAACGGAGTAGTGGATCCAAATTCAAGGCTTTATTATGAAGAGCATAGTCAGAACAGGCAGGGTCAAAACATCACCAAACAGTAATATTAAAGGCACAGGCAAAAGAGTAATCCACAGAGCAGGCAATGGTCAGGGTAGGCAGCAAAACAATCTTGAAAACCAGATAAAGAGATCCAAAAACCACGAAGGCAAAGCAAGACAAGGCACAGGAAAACACGGAAACACTGGCAGGAAACCAGAAATAAGAAAACATTACAGGCTATCAATCATCAGCGATGTGAACGTGTGTGTGTGTGTGCATGTGTGTGTGTGTGTGTGCGTGTGTGTGCGTGTGTGTGCGCGGGGCGTGTGTGTGGGTGTGTCTGTGGGCTTGTGTGTGTGTGTGTGTGTGTGTGTGTGTGTGTGTGTGTGTGCGTGTGTGTGCGTGTGTGTGCGCGTGTGTGTGCGTGCGCCATTCTTATACTGTGAGACTGATGAGGTGATGAGATACAGCTGATTGCAACTCGTGATGAGTCCGGGCAAAGGATTATGGGGAATGTAGTCTGTGAGAATGTAAATGGTAAAGGATGGGGTGCCATCTAGCGGAGCTCGTGGTCACTCCAGCTAGAGATCGTGACAATTGATTTGTTTAATTTTTATAATTAAATAAATAGTGATTTTATTAAATAAAATAAAAGACAGCTATAAATATTAGTAATGATAGTAAATAATATAAATAATTAAACATAAATAATAGTAGTAGTACTTATTTGTATTTTTACTGTTTAAGTAATAATAATAACAATAATAATAAAATATATTTTTAGCAAATACTTGATTTTTAAAAATTCCAGTATAGTATTATTAGTGTAGAAATAGATTTTTTTATTGATTTGTTTAATTTTTTATTACTTAATAAAATAATAAAATAACCATTATTAAATGTTCATTTGTATTTTACAGTATATTATTATTTTAGTAATGCTAATAATATCAATTACTTTATTGATTTGTTTAGTTTTTGGAATGTTTGTAATTTGATGAATGAACCATTATAATTTAATAAACATGAGGATGATAATAATAATAATAATAATAATAATAGCAATAATTTATTAATAAGTAAATTGTATTATTATTATTAATCTAAATATTAAAAATATTTCAGATTTGTGTATAATTTAATAAAAAAATTATGATAATGTTAAAGACAGACATGAATATTAGTAATATTAAATAATAGTGAATAATATAGATAATTAAACATTAAATGATAGTAATTATTTGTATTTGTTTCTGTTTTTCTGAAAAAATTATAATAATTAACATATCTTATTTTTTTAAATAAATTCTCGTTTTTTAATTTTATTATATAGTATTACTGCTTATATTATTATTGATTTGTTTAATTGTAATAATTTAATACAATTATAAAACTGTGAATGTGGCCTGAGAACTGAACTGAAATAGAGAGAGATTTTTAAACTGTATATGGTCTATATGTTTTTCTTTTATGCTGCCCTCATGCTAAAGTTGACCATGAATCCACATTTGAATGCATGACTGAACTGCCTTATTCACGCTGCGTGGCTGCTGTGCTGCGTTTCAGTAAAATCCAGCACATCATGGACGAGATGATCTCCACCGAGAGAGAGTACGTCAGATCCCTCAGCTACATCATCCAGCACTACTTCCCTGAGATGGAGCGACTGGACCTTCCTCAGGACCTCCGAGGGAAGCGCAGCATCATTTTTGGGAATCTGGAGAAACTGTGCGACTTTCACAGCCAGTATTTCCTGACGGATCTGGAGAGCTGCGCTCATTCACCGCTGTCCATCAGCAGCTGCTTCCTCAAACACGTGAGTCCATGTGATGGTTAATGAAGTCTCTTCTACTCACCAAAGCCACATTTATTTGATCAAAAATACATCAAAAATGTGAAATATTATTACAATTTAAAACAGCTGTTTTCTATGTGAATCTCTGTTAAACTGTAATGTATTTCTGTGATGCGCAGCTGTATTTTCAGCATCATTACTGCAGTCTTCAGTGTCACATGATCTTCAGAAATCAGTCTAATATGCTGATTTTCTGCTCGAGAAACATTTCTGATTATTATCAATGTTGAAAACAGTTCATATTTTTGTGGAAATGGTGGATTCTTTGATGAATAGAAAGTTTGATGAAAGAACGAAAAGCAATTATTTAAAATCTTTTATAAAATAATACTGTAAATGTCTTATTTAATAATGAAATAAAATAAATAATTATTTAAATGTTATTATATTATACTATTTACTATTATTATACTATACTATATTATAGTAGATTTATTAATTTGTTTGAATACATTTAATTTAAATAAATAATTGTATTTATTTTTATTTATTTGAATAAATACCATTTAATGTAAATAAAAGGTCAATAGTTAGATGAAATTAAATATTTTAAAATAAAAGTATTATTTATTTGAATAATTAATTCAAATCAAATGCTCGTCATAATGATAATTATTTAAATTTAATGTAAATAAAATGAATGAATGAATGAATGAAATGATTATTTAATAATGAAATAAAATAAATAATTATGGAAATATTATATTATTTAGTATTATTATACTATTTATAAAGTAGATTTATTCATTTACTTTTGTATGCATTTAATTCAAATAAATATATGTTTTATTTTTTATTTGGATAAATACCATTTAATGTAAATAAGTAATTATTGAGTAATTAAATAAAATATTAAAAATATAATTTATTATTTGTTTGAATAAAGAAAATTTGGTGTAAATAAAATAATGAATTATTAATAAAATAAAATAAATTATTATTTAATTAAGTAAAATAAATTATAATTTTTTTTAAAGAAAATTTATTTGTGTGCATTTACATTATTTTAATAGTTTTTAATTGATTTAAATAAACACCATTTATTTTAAATAAAACAAGTAGCTGTTTAATAAAAAAATATATATTTTAAAATATAATTATTTTTTTATCTGGATAAAACCTCAAACTTTTAAATGATAATGTGCACAGTGTGCAACGGCAGAAATTGTCATGGTTGCTCTCGATAAATGCTGTTGAAATCTTACGAGATAGTGTAAGATATAAATGTGTTTTTTCCGCGGTTAGGAGGAACAGTTTGGGATGTACGCCCTGTACAGCAAAAACAAGCCGCGCTCAGACGCTCTGCTGACGAGCCACGGAAACAGTTTTTTCAAGGTAAGCACTGGTGTTTCTCCTCCGTGATGTTAATCACTCGAGCTGAAGATGTTTCTGAAGGGTCCCTGTGCTCTGCAGAACAAGCAGCTGGAGCTGGGCGATAAGATGGACCTGGCGTCGTACCTGCTGAAGCCCATCCAGAGGATGAGTAAATACGCTCTGCTCCTGAAGGATCTGATCAAGGAGTGCGATCAGTCTCAGGAGCAGGAGCTGGCTGACCTCAGAACAGCGCAGGAGATGGTCAGGTTCCAGCTGCGCCACGGGAACGACCTGCTGGCCATGGACGCCATCCGCGGCTGTGACGTACGTTTGATTTAGATCAGAGATGCAAACTCCTCCCCTTTCAGTGACAACTCACGATTCTGATATCAGTATAGGTCACCTATGAGATTTGCTTAGAGCCAATGAGAAAGTGTTTTATGGGGTGGGGGGGGGGGTGTCTTACAAGGGTACTTGTGATCTTACAAAGAGAGAGGGCAAACATTTTATATTTTAGGTCAGCGTTGCCGTCTAATCAGCCGATATTGTCTTAAATATTGTCTTTTATAACATGGGGTTTTGACCAAATATATTCAGCCTTGATTTTTGTAAAATGTTGCAACAAGATGTTAGTTTTTTTTTTTTTGTGTGTGTGTGGAAAAATTACTTGTCTTAAAGGTGCAATAGGTGATTGGCTTCAGAAGCGTTTTTTGTTATGCTGGTTGAAAGTCTCTTCACATCCCGATAGCAATCATTAAGTTAAGTGGTCTAAATGTATTTATCTGTATTTATATATTCTGTGGAAGGCGTAGGATCAATAAATGTTCGTCCAATCAAAACACTCGGTCCGAGCGTTTTAATTGGCTTTCCTACCTGCCTGTCAACATATGTACAGGATACGTCATCAGCTCGTTCACACACACACTGTGCAAACAAACATCAACAACCCGATCTTCCTTCCTGGTATTGTAGTACTTTTACTAACTGTACTATAAAGTTTTCTCACCGGTGAATGACACATGATGTAGCCCAGCGGTTCCCAATCCCAGTCCTCGCGCAAGAGAAGCAGGGGAAATCCGTTGAAGTTTACTTCACTTCTGAACATTCATTCACGGATTTGCGCTGAAGTGTGACATAATTAGGGTTGGGTATCGAAAACCAGTTCCATTTTAGAACCGGTTCCAAATGTCCAAGAACCGGGTATTCGATAAGACGCGTGCATTTCGATTCTGCTTAACGATTCCTGCGTTCGCATTTTAATGTGATTAAAAACTATTTAAGTGCAGGAATGGAAAGAACTTGCGCCCTGAAGCGCAAGCTCGAGCACGGAGAACAGAGGTCACGGTACGGGTTCCCGGTTTGTGTCCATTCTCGAACCGTTCTCGAACCGTTCCGTGTATTTCCACTGTAGAAAAGGTTGTTCCGGGCCGAAACTGACTTCTTTCATATTTGTCGACCAATATGCAGAAAACAACGTCAGTCTTATATCATCATAAACACAGCCGTTTTTGTCTTACGTGAATGAGAAAGAAAACACACATGTACAGTATTTTTAGATCTGCGTGCGTTCGCTGGTACAGAGACAGCAGCCTAATCAACGCGCTGGAGGATGCGAGGACTGGAATTGGGAACCGCTGATGAAGCCTATTGTAGTAATGTTGTCTCTGGTGTTCTGGTCTGTGAGTGTAAATGCGTTCAGGGGGCGTGGCTTTGGATGCTATCAGTGCTGTCAGGCTAAAGTTAGCATTTTCCAAGATCTCCTACTTCTCCTACTTCCTTTAAGTCGCTGGGGTATATTTGTAGCAATAGCCAACAATACATTGTATGGGTCAAAATGATAGATTTTTCTTTTATGCCAAAAATCATTAGGATATTAAGTAAAGATCATGTTCCATGAAGATATTTTGTAAATTTTCTACCGTAAATATATCAAAACTTAATTTTTGATTAGTAATATGCATTGCTAAGAACTTCATTTGGACAACTTTAAAGATGATTTTCTCAATATTTAGATTTTTTTGCACCCTCAGATTCCAGATTTTCAAATAGTTGTATCTCAGCCTGATATGGTCCTATCCTAACAAACCATACATCAATGAAAAGCTTATTTATTCAGCTTTCAGATGATGCATAAATCTCAATTTTGAAAAATTGACACTTGAGACTGGTTTTGTGGTCCAGGGTCACATATAAGTAACTAGAAATGACTATGTAAAGCAAATATCTTTAAAAGAAATTCCGTGTGGAGCATGTCCCCGATCCGTGCAATGTTCTCACTTTTTTCCCCCTTACCTGTTTTACCCGCACCTCTGTAGATAAAATAAATAATTATTATTTAGCCCCTTCAGAGCCTGCGTCAACTGGAATGGACATCACATGGTTTCTGGTTTAAACCAGTAAAATTTTTGGTTTTTATAATATATGCGTAATACCACGATAACGATATGACCCCTAACTTTATCTGATTGGGATTCAGTCATCACAAAAGGAAGTTGTGGCTAACCAGCTAAACAGTCATAATTACAATTATTAATATAAATATTCATGTATTTTAATACATTTTATTTAAACAAATAATTTTATTTATTTATTTGAAAGAAATAAAATTTAAAGTAAATAAAATAAATTATTATTTAATAATTAAATAAGATAAATATTTTTTATTTAAACGTATTGTTTTAGAATGTAATTATTAATATGAATAAATTTTATTGTTTAAATATTAAAGTAAATAAAATAAATAATTATTTAATTAATAAATAAATAATAAATTGTATTCAAATAAATTAAATGTAAATAAAATAAATAATTGTTGAATAAATTAAACAAATAATTGAATAAAACAAAATAATTTATTTTACCAATTTTTATTCCAATAATTAATTGTGTATTTTTTTTTTTGAAAAAATAACAATAAGTAAAATAATTATTTTAAAATGTTTATTATAATAATTTTTTTGAGAAAGTTTGATTCAAATAAATAATTGTTTATTTATTTATTTATTTGATTAAATCATATTTAATGTAAACAAAATAAATAATTATTTAATAATTCAATAATACAAATAATTTGTTTAAAAAAATAAATTTTTAATAAATAAATAAATAGTTGTTTAATAATTAAAATACATTATTAATTTAAAATATTATTTATTTTTATTTAAGTTTTAATCAAATATTTATTTATTTGTGTTATCATTAAAATCTCTTTCATTGTTCCTATAATTTTTATTGATGATTCTTACTGTAATCCAAATATTTTTACTGTATTTCACAAAAATTCCACAGAGAATTTGAATTAGCTTATATTAGCAGTTTGGTCATCTGTTGACATGATTTGATAGAGACTTATACACAGTGTTGTGTGTTTTTTAGGTCAATCTGAAGGAGCAGGGTCAGCTCCGCTGTCAGGACGAGTTCATCGTTTGGTGCGGACGCAAAAAATACCTGCGCCACGTTTTCCTTTTCGAGGATCTCATCCTCTTCAGCAAGACCAAGAAGATTGAAGAATTAATAAATAAATAATAAATTGTATTCAAATAAATTAAATGTAAATAAAATAAATAATTGTTGAATAAATTAAACAAATAATTGAATAAAACAAAATAATTTATTTTACCAATTTTTATTCCAATAATTAATTGTGTATTTTTTTTTTTTTAAATAACAATAAGTAAAAAAATTATTTTAAAATGTTTATTATAATAATATTTTTGAGAAAGTTTGATTCAAATAAATAATTGTTTATTTATTTATTTATTTGATTAAATCATATTTAATGTAAACAAAATTTGATAGAAACTGATATATATACTGTGTTGTGTTTCTCAGGTCAATCTGAAGGAGCAGGGTCAGCTCCGCTGTCAGGACGAGTTCATCGTTTGGTGCGGACGCAAAAAATACCTGCGCCACGTTTTCCTTTTCGAGGATCTCATCCTCTTCAGCAAGACCAAGAAGATTGAAGGAGGATACGACATCTACATCTACAAACAGTCCTTCAAGGTACAGAATACGAGTCTGGTGTCAGACCGCAGAGTGAGTTTTGTGAGATGAAGAGTATTTGTTCTCGTCTCAGACGGCTGAGATCGGGATGACGGAGAGCGTGGGAGACAGCGGGCTGCGCTTCGAGATCTGGTTTCGCCGGAGGAAATCACAGGACACCTTCATCCTGCAGGCCGCTTCCTGTTCCTATACTTTTTATTGATGATTCTTACTGTAATCCAAATATTTTTACTGTATTTCACAAAAATTCCACAGAGAATTTGAATTAGCTTATATTAGCAGTTTGGTCATCTGTTGACATGATTTGATAGAGACTTATACACAATGGTGTGTGTTTTTTAGGTCAATCTGAAGGAGCAGGGTCAGCTCCGCTGTCAGGACGAGTTCATCGTTTGGTGCGGACGCAAAAAATACCTGCGCCACGTTTTCCTTTTCGAGGATCTCATCCTCTTCAGCAAGACCAAGAAGATTGAAGGAGGATACGACATCTACATCTACAAACAGTCCTTCAAGGTACAGAATACGAGTCTGGTGTCAGACCGCAGAGTGAGTTTTGTGAGATGAAGAGTATTTGTTCTCGTCTCAGACGGCTGAGATCGGGATGACGGAGAGCGTGGGAGACAGCGGGCTGCGCTTCGAGATCTGGTTTCGCCGGAGGAAATCACAGGACACCTTCATCCTGCAGGCCGCTTCTGGAGAGGTGAAGAACGCCTGGACCTCCATCATCGGCAAGATCCTGTGGAGACAAGCCTTACGAAACCGAGGTCAGACAGCAGCATCCAATGCATGACATAAAGAAATATGTGACCCGGAATAAATAATCTTTTCATTGATGTATGGTTTGTTAGGATAGGACAATATTTGGCTGAGATACAACTATTTGAAAATCTGGAATCTGAGGGTGCAAAAAAATCTAAATATTGAGAAAATCATCTTTAAAGTTGTCCAAATGAAGTTCTTAGCAATGCACTCCAAAGAGAAAGGAAAACTTGAAATCGCATAATATGACCCCTTTAAATAATTTTCAGCCAATATAATAATAGTTAAATTTCTTCATTAAAAATAATCATATGTAATAGGGATGCACCGATGTATCAGCCGCCGATATTTATTATTAGATTATTTTAAAGCCATTGGCATATCGGAAATAGCATGAAAAGGGCCGATACCGATGGTTTATTAATTAACTGCATGGAGACAATGAGTTGCATGTCTGTTGCATAATCCAACGTTTTTCTCTGGGCAAATTAATTAAATATTTGCCAAAACAAAATAAAATCTGGACAAACAAAGACAGCATAGTACGGCCTATGCAAACGTGACACTGATGCATCCAATGAGTGAAATGCCTGCACTCAGCTGAAAATTAATCATAGGTAAATCGCTATGGCAATTTTCCGGCGTTAGAGATTATCCGAGGATATGTCACGAACCGCCAAACATTAGACCTACATTTAAGTGAAAATGAATGGCAGGTAATATGCAGCTTTTTGTTTGAAACCAGTTTAGAACACGGATTCACACAAGCTCACGTCACGCACCTGCAGCGTTTCTGTGAACTGAGAAGTTCACGGGGAAAAAAACCGAGACGGCAGAAAGCCGTTTTCTTTATTTTGCAAAAGCTTTACAGTTTTGAATGATGTTTTTATTACAAACCAGCGTTGGTATGACCATAAATTACCCGTAACAGTTGAGAAAACTATGGAGTGATCGCGTCGGTGCCTCACGAGCACATACAACATATTTTTGCTAATTTGACATCGCAGCCTGTTCATTATCAAAATAAAATACAGTTAAAAAAACATAAAAAGTTACACTGATGTTTTATGTCGATAATGCGAGTAAAGAACAAAGCCTATAGTTTAATAATAAGTTAGCATCCAGATACTTTGCGAATATGGAAACGTTTGGATTCGTGCAGAATTAGAGAGATAGGCTTCAGTTTCATTTTTAAATTAATTTGTTTTGGCTTGACGCTTATATTTATCACAACTTTAGAGAATTTGTTGTGGAGAGAAGGGAACTAAAATAGCCTAATTGTGTTTGTAAGTTAGCTTTAATTTACCATTATTTTAGCCTACATTATTTCTGAATGTAATAATAAAATGCAACGTATGTTTTTTTTCCTCTCAAAACTAACACTTATAGGAGTAGCATTTTTTTATCCATGCTGAAACATTTTTAAATATCTTGAGAAAAAAAGACACTTGAATGTTTTTAATGCGTTGACAGTATTTTATTTTGTTTAATACATTTGGTCTTTGGTAAATCTAGAAAGATGATGCTGTATTGGCTATGACTAAGTGAGATCAAGACTCTTTCTTTCTTTTTGAGTAAATTAAACACTGTACTTTATTATTATTATTATTATTATTATTATTATTGGCAAAGAAAAAGTTTTAAAAATAATGTTATTAACCGGTATGTTTTCTACTCAAACCGTTTTCACAGAGGAACGCAGGAACAGAAACGTTAAAATACCGATTCTGCTCGGAGTGAACCAATCCTTTTTTTTCTCGTTTTTTAGCCCTGCTTTATGCAATTGACCAATATCGGTATCGGAATCGGACAATAATTGTTTGCTAAAAATCGGTATCAGTATCGGCCAAAAAAATCCTATCGGTGCATCCCTAATATGTAATGTAGAAAATAAAATTAATTTGTTTGTGAATCAGAAAGAATCAACTTATAAGTGTCATATCTTTGTGAATCTGAAAGAACTGGTTCATAAGAGTCGTTTGTTTCTGAATCAGAAAGAATTGGCTCATAAGAGTCATATGTTTGTGAATCCGAAAGAATCGGCTCATAAGAGTCATTTGTTTGTGAATCAGTCTATGCTGATTCTGTTTGTTTGTGAAAACTGAAAGCTGACAGCTCTTTTGCTGCAGGAAACTCTACTGTCTATTGTTCACAGATTCGTCACTAACCAGGCTAAACACAGACAGATGTATGAACAGAAGTTCAACAGCAGAACTGTCACTTCAGCGCTGCGGTCTCGCTGACAAATGCATTGTGGGACGTTTTTGTCTCTGTGCTGTTATTAGGAGCTGAAAATAATTTGCAGTAGATTTTATAAACCTGCTCTAAGAAAAGCATTAGGAATAAACGCTGTTCTAATAAAGCCTGTTGCATTATTCACTCTAGCTTGTGTTGATTGTGTGTGTGTGTGTGTGTGTGTGTGTGTGTGTGTGTGTGTGTGTGTGTAGATGAAAAGGTCTTCTTTTTAAGGAAGAAAAAAATTTTTCTCGTGATTTTTAATCTATTTAACTATTAGCATATTGAATATGATATATATACTTTATTATATCCAATATGATAAGTGTGTGTGTATATATATGCATACTGTATATATAATATATATTTATTTATATTAAAAAAATGTAAGTTTGTCTTTTTATATATATTTCTGATTAGTTTTTTAAATGTCAGTTTTAATTTAGAAATTTCTGTATTTCAACTTCGTATATGAAACCATGATCCGCACTCGCAAAAACAGTCTTCTTTTTACATTTTATTATACATTTATCACTAATAGGGAAAAATCACAAACATTTCGGCTCAAGGCCTTCTTCAGTGTGTTAAACAAAAATATTAATATTACATTATACTAATAGTAATAGTAACAATAATAGTATTTCAACAATTTCAAGCATTTTTTCATGTAGTTTTTATCTTTTAATTAGTGCTGTCAATTGATTTAAAAGAAATTAACGAATTAATCGCACGTATTTCCTGAATTGAATCGCGATTAATCCCACCTAACATTAAAGTTTTTAAATATACTTTAATATTGAAATAATTTAACAGTACGTCTTCTAATTAATGTACAAACAACATAAATATAGTACATTTTTATATTTATTTAACGTCATCTTTTTTTAACACCGAAGGCCAGTATCACTGATACCAATATTACTGATGTCTCTATAAAATAATTTTCCCCATAATATTTAACCATTGATTATAGCCATTCAACATTACAGTATAATTGAGTCCTATCCATTTTAACATTTATTAGACTTTAAAAAATAACAACTTCTAATTTAAGTGAACTTAATACAATCTTCACATAAACCCATTATAATAAATGTCATATTTTTACCTGTGCCCTTCAGCAGAAATATACAGAAATTTAAGTTGTCAAACACTCAATTCTAAATTAAATAATAGAGATGAATCCTTAAAGCTTTAAAAGTTATTGATTTCCTCTTTTTTTCTTTGATGAACAGACATCACACTCTCTTAAAAATAAAGCTGCTTCACGATGCCATAGAAGAACCTTTTTGTCTAAATGGTTCCATAAAGAACCTTCAACATCTGAAGAACCTTTCTGTTTCACAAAAGCTTCTTTGTGACGAAAGAAGGTTCTTCAGATTATAAAAAGGTAAGAAAGAGATGGTTCTGTAAAGAACCTTTGACTGAATGATTCTTTGTGGAACCAAAAATGGTTCTTCTGTGGCATCACTGTGAAGAACATTTTAAGCACCTTTATTTTTAAGAGTGCAGCAGTTGGATATTAGGTTGTTTTGGCTGCTATTACTTTAAGAGTTGCCGCTGCTGAACGTGACTCGGATCTGACACTCATCGTATTTTCTCTCGACTCTCTTTAGTCTATCTTTTCTGACCCACTTCAGGTCTTAAAGTCTCTACTAATGAGCTGACGAGTTAAATCGAGTGTGTAACATGAGGGAGACAGTGCTGCGGTACTACAGGACTGTTTTAAAAACCATTTCAGAGACATGTTCTTAAATCTGATTCATATAAAAAATATAACATGCATGCACAGTTTAAAGGCAGCTTTAATCACCTTTTTGGTAACTTCATGAGTTAAGTGACCACGACATTGCATGCACGTAGTTTATTTCGTGCTTTGATATGAAATGATAAAGGCTATAGTGCGCGCCGGCACAACTGAAGATCTCACGCTGTGGCGCTGAGGTGAAGCTGGAGCGCGTGTCTGAAACATCTCTGATTTGATGTGCTCATAAAGACGATCTGTGACTAAATAAACTTCTTGACAAGAAAACAGAAGCAGCAGTTGTGAGAGGGGTGGCCAAGCCTAGCCCCGCCCCTGCGTTAATTGCGTTAAATATTTTTAACACGTTAAACTGAATAAATAAATAAATAAATATCGCACAAATTTTGACAGCACTAATTTTAATTCATCTTTATTTCTATTTATTTATGTATTTCTTTAATTAATTATTTTCCCTGGGAACCCATGACCCATGACCTTGATCTAGAACATTTTTATTAATTTTTGTATTGATTTATTCAGTTATTTATTAACTTATTTATTTATTGTAATTAGCATTAAATTTAACCTGAGTTTCGTGTTTTTTAAGGTTCCTAACTGTTCCTAACTACGTACTAAACAAAAGAATATTATATTTCCAACATGTTTTGCTTTTTATTTAAAAAAAATGTTGTCAGAGAGCTTCCTTTCAGTCAATGAGAATGTTAATTCTCTAACAGTTTTAGTTATATGCAATAACAGCACTGGAACCTTCTACAGTGAATCATATGTGTCTTGTTTATGTGGAGCTGCAGCATTTGACGTGTGATGCACATGGAGTGTGATTTTATCCGTCTTCGGTCTCTGCAGATTCACGGATGCGGGCGTCAGTAGCGGTGTCCTCGTTCGATCACTCCACGCCATTTAAGAGACCGCACTCCACCATCTCCAACAGCAGCTCGTCCTCGTCCAGCAGCCAGTCCTCGTCCTCTCTGCTGAGCTCTCTGAACCTGCACCTCCATCCGTCCCTGAGCCACTGGCCCTACGACTGCATCGAGGAGGACGAGCTCGAGCACGACTCCACTGTCCAGTCCTCCACGAGTGAGTCATGTCACACTGAAGACTGGAGGAATGATGCTGAAAATTCAGCTTTGATCACAGCAATCAATTACAGTTGAACAGACATTCACATAACAGCTATTTTATATAGTGGTGTGAAAAAGTGTTGGCCCCCTTCCTGATGTCTTATTTGTTTGCATGTTTGTCACACTTTACTGTTTCAGATCATCAAACAAATTTAAATATTACACAAAGATAATGCAAGTAAATACAAAATGCAGTTTTTAAATGATGATTTCATTTATTAAGGGAAAAAAGCTGTCCAAACCTACCTGGCCCTACGTGAAAAATTAATTGCCCTCTCCTGTTAAATCATGAAAGAACTGCAATTAAGCACATTATTTTAGAAAGCTGAGTTAAATTTCACTAGCCATACCCAGGCCTGATTACTGCTGGAAGCTCCTGTCATCAAGTCAAATTCCTTGTGTGTGTAAACATACTTGTTAATAAAGCTCTTCTGATTCTGATTCTGATTCTGATTCTGATTCTGATTCTGATTCTGATTCTGATTCTGATTCTGATTCTGATTCTGATTCTGATTCTGATTCTGATTCTGATTCTGATTCTGATTCTGATTCTGATTCTGATTCTGATTCTGATTCTGATTCTGATTCTGATTCTGATTCTGATTCTGATTCTGATTCTGATTCTGATTCTGATCTCGCTCAAAAATGACCATTATATTTTTCCTATTTAAAACTTGACTCTTCTGTAGCTACATCGTGTACTAAGACCGACGGAAAATGAAAAGTTGAGATTTTCTAGGCCGATATGGCTAGGAACTATACTCTCATTCCGGCGTAATAAGCAAGGAACTTTGCTGCCGTACTATGGGTGCAGCAGGCGCAATGATATTACGCAGCGCCTGAAAATAGGCCCCAGCTAGGTAACTTCCATTAAGCCTATTTTCAAAGTGAAGTGACATGTGGCCAAGTATGGTGACCCATACTCAGAATTAGTGCTCTTTTTTTGCACTTTGTGTTTACCCATCCAAAGTGCACACACACAGCAGTGACACACAGCAGTGAACACACACACACACCGTGAACACACACCCGGAGCAGTGGGCAGCCATTTATGCTGCGGCGCCTGGGGAGCAGTTGGGGGTTCGGTGCCTTGCTCAAGGGCACCTCAGTTGTGGTATTGAAGGTGGAAGAGAGTGCTGTACATTCACTCCCCCCACCTACAATCCCTGCCGGTACGAGACTCGAACCCGCGACTCTCTAACCATTGGGCCACGACTTCCCCAATAGTATAGTTCCTAGCCATATCAGCTAGTATATAAATATCGAAAAATATAGAAACTCTTTGGTAATTTTTTAGCGAGATGCTAATGGTCTAATCAGATTCAATGATCTATGCTAAGCTACAGCTAAAAGTGCTACCGCCAGACCCAGAGATCGGCTGAATGGATTCGAAAACGGTAAAACTCACTGTTTAACCTCTAGGGGAGTTAGAAAATGAGCCTGTTTTCAAAAATAGTGGAGTGTTCCTTTAAGTCGCTGGAGTATATTTGTAGCAATAGCCAAAAAAACATTGTATGGGTCAAAATTATCGATATTTCTTTTAATGCCAAAAATCATTAGGATATTAAGTAAAGATCATGTTCCATAAAGATATTTTGTAAATTTCCTACCGTAAATATATCAAAACTTAATTTTTGATTAGTAATATGCATTGCTAAGAACTTCATTTAGACAAATTTAAAGATGATTTTCTCAATATTTAGATTTTTTTGCACCCTCAGATTCCAGATTTTCTAATATTGTGCGATCCTAACAAACCATACATCAATGGAAAGAAGGATTTTTAATGTTTTTTACAGGAGTCTCTTCTCCTCATCAAGGCTGCATTTATTTGATCAAAAATACAGGAAAAAAATTTATATTGTGAAATATTATTATACATTAAAATCTCATTTATTTCTGTGATCAAAGCTGGATTTTCAGCATCATTACTCCAGTCTTCAGAGTCACATGATCTTCAGAAAAGTGCTGGAAACTGTTGCTGCTTCATATTGTTTTGGAACCTTTAATACTTTTTTCAGGATTCTTTGATGAATAAAAAGTTACAAAGAAGAGCATTTGTTTAAAATAGAAATATTTTCTAACAATATTCACTACCGTTCAAAAGTTTGGGGTCAGTACATTTTTATTCTTCCTTTTTTTTGAAAGAAATTAAAGCTTTTATTCAGCGAGGATGTGTTAAATTAATAAGAAGTGATAGCAAAGATTTATATTGTTAGAAAAGATTTATATTTTGAATAAATGTTGTTCTTTTTAACTTTTTATTCATCAAAGAATCCTAAAAAAAAAAGTGTTGCAGTTTCCATAAAAATATTTGTCAGCACAACTGTTGATAATTCTAATAATAAATCAGCATATTATACTGATTTCTGAAGCGGCTGTGTGGTTCTTCATATTTAGTTAGTGGAGTTCATCTTCAGTCTAAAGTCATCAAGATCTATCGGATGTGTTATCTGATAATAGAGTCTGTGGTGGGCAGAAGGTGTACATGAACAGCAGCTGTTAAGACAGGAAGTGTGAAACAGGAAATGGGCCCCTTTCACGGCTGCTGTGTGTTCTGTTGACTGAAGCCCAGCGGTTTCACTGGCCAACCGAGACAAAGATCGTCTGTGTGACACTAAAACTATATCAGATCCTTCTCTTGTTATTAGACAAGATTCTGTCCAGTTCCTCTTCCTGTTCCGTCTCAAAACAATACAATATTTCTGATCGTTATATTATGAATTGGACTTGCTGTGACGTTTCATTAGCCCTCATAGTGTGTTTTATACTCAACAAGGCTGCATATATTTAGTCGAAAATACAGAAAACTGTGCTGCACTATACTGTTTTGTATTTAAACATTTTAAAAGGGTCACAAGATCCTTCAGAAATCATTCTAATATGCTGATTTTCTGCTCAAGAAACATTCCAGATTATTATCAATGTTGAAAACAGTTGTGCTGCTGAATATGTTTGTTTTTCAGGATTCACAGACGAGTAGAACGTTTAATAGAACAGCATTTATTTGAAATAGAAATCTTTTGTAACATTATAAATGCCTTTACTGGCACTTTTGATCAGTTTAACACATCAATGCTAAATAAAAGTATTGTTTTTTAAATAAATAAATTATAGAAATGACTGTAAATAAAGAAATGACTCCCTTTTGATCAGTTTAATTCATTCCTTTTAAGAGTATTAATATTTTTGATTAATTAAATAAAAATTGTAAATAAACAAATTACTTTCACTTTTGATCAATTTAATGTGTCCATGCTAAATAAAATTATTCATATTTTTTAATAAATAATATAAATTACTGTAAATAAATAAATTACTGTAACTTTTGATCAATTGAAATCATTCTTGCTGAATAAATGTTTTAAAATTTTAAATAAAATAAAGTAAATTACTAAAAATAAATTGTCACTTTTGATCAATTTAATGCATTCTTGCTGTATAACATTTTTAAATGCTTTTAATACATTAATAAAGTAAATTACTACAAATAAATAAATTACTGTCACTTTTGATCAATTTAAAGCATCCTTGCTTAATAAAAGTTTTATTCTGAATAAATTCTATGTAAATAATGAATGTTTCTGTAATAGTTGTGTATAGCTGAGAAGGGCTGTATGTAAGTGTTGTGTTGTGCGTCTGCAGTGAGTGTCCAGCATCATCCTGTGTTAGTGATGGAGAGCTACACCTGTGACGGAGGCTCGTCTCTGTCCCCGTCTCCACCCGAAGTCTCGTCCTCCATCCTCTACCACGCAGAGCAGGAGCTGCAGAGTCAGAGCAGCACGTTCATCACAGCGGTGAGAGAGCAAACCCACACGCTCATGCATAACCATTACTAAAATGAGGGAAAAAAAACATTAGGCCTTGATTGAAGATTTATATATTTTAATTTGCATGTAAACTTTCCATTCATTTGGATCACACAGTTTTAACAAATGTGACATTGGACCACAAAACCATCATAAAGGTTTAATTTTTTGAAATTGAGATTTACATGTCACATAAAAGCTGAATAAATAAGCTTTCCATTGATGTGTGGTTTGTTAGGATCGGACAATATTTGAAAATCTGGAATCTGAGGGTGCAAAAAAATCTAAATATTGAGAAAATCATCTTTAAAGTTGTTCAAATGAAGTTCTTAGCAATGCATATTACTAATCAAAAATTAATTTTTGATATATTTACGGTAGGAAACTTACTAAATATCTTCATGGAACATGATCTTTACTTAATATCCTAATGATTTTTGGCATAAAAGAGAAATGTATAATTGTGACCCATACAATGTATTGTTGGCTATTGCTACAAATATCCCCCAGCGACTCAACACTGCTTTTGTGCTCCAGGCTCACATATAATAAACTTAATCTGATGCATATTTGTCAGTCTTACAGAAATGAAACTGGTCAGATTTCTCTAATAGTAATAATAGTAATAATAAACTGAATGTGTTTTATTTGTACAGTAACCAAGTTTAGGTATTTATCATCAATAAATCAAATTTGTTTAAATCTCAAACATTTTCACTAATTGAATATCACTTGTTCCACAGCTAGACATACATTTTAACCATGTTCATACTGAATTAATGAATAGGGAAATGAATAAATAATAGGGAAATAAATGACTTGCTAAAACAAATACAATTATTATTAAATTTAGTCCTGAATTTTTGTATTACATTTTCCCCTTTTATTTGTTATTTTCTTTAGTTCTCTTTAACCACATTTTTTATTCTTTCATTTAATTTTATTCTATGATGTTGTTTATTATTCAGGGTTTAAACAAATAATTGAAATAAAAAAATAATTGAAATAATGTAACCAAAATCAAATGGAAGAGTTAATAATAAACTATGCCGTGATTTTTTATTTTATTCATGTATTTATGAATTTATTTATTTTTCAGAAATCTGACCCGTTTCATTTCTGTATGACTGACAAATATGCATCACATTGAAATGTATTTGTTTTTGTTAAAACTGTGTAATCCAATTGCATGGAAATTTCATATGCAATTCAAATACATCAATTTCAAATGAAGGCCTAGATATTTTTTAAGTTTACTGGTGCCAAGCATCACTATTTCAGACATGTAACTGACGTGTTCTGCAGCTGTTCTTCCTCTCGTCGATTTTCTAACAGTAGTTTCATCTGACGTGTTTGTTTTACCAGAGCAAGACTTCAGGTCTGTTAGGCCTCTCGACTCTGGTCTGAATCAAACGCTTCAGATCAGTAAGTAACCGTATGCTTCCTGATGACGCTCTCAGAGAAACCCTTTGTGTTGAGCTGCATGTGTGTGTTGGGCTTCAAGGGTCCTCCTGGTGCTTCAAGCAGTGTTCTGGGTTATTTTGAGCTTAATGTGACAGTAACGTCATCCTCAGTGAGTCTGAACGTGCTGAAACACATTTACAGTAATGCATTTACAGTGGAAATTTACATGCACTTTTAAGTTGCTTTAGTTTATCAATAAAAATGTCTGTTGCTTTAGCTGCAATATCATCCTTTTGAGGTTGAAGCAATGGTTTTGCATTACTCTCTCACTGAGGAACGAGTTGACGGCATTGTCATGTATCACATGTGCGATGCGTGCACTTTATGTTGAAAATAACCGTGCGATGCACATGCACTGCAATGCATGTTGAAGATCCTGTGTGTCGAGTCTTATTTGTGTCGAGACGTTTTGTGTATCTAAAGCAAGAAGGCTTTTTGAGAAAAATGAGTTGCATAAATGCTGTGAAATCATGCAGCGAGCATCGCTCACGCAGACGAATGAGCCGGGCGGTTCCCTGCAAAGATGCGTTCACACTGACAGCGATTCACAGCATTTTCAGTGACAGCTGACCATGTGAGAGCGACTTTTGACAATACATCAGTATCGCCAGATTTTACTATACATTTGGAAACTGTAAACATTGAGCAGAAACTATGGCTGCACAATATTGTAAAATAAAAAACAAAAAAACAACTGGCATTGTGATATGCAGAAAAGCTGGATTTTTTTAGTTTTTCTGCAATATTGGCGATATGAATATATTGTTTTTTTCTGCAGTATTTGCGATATGAAAAATACATGACTCTTTTTTGCAATATTTGTGATATGAAAAAATACGGGACATTTTTTCTCTAATATTGATATTACAACATACAGGATTTTTTTTGCAACATTTGCAATATGAAAAAATACAGGAAATATTTTTCTGCAGTATTTGCATCATGAAAAAAAAATCGGGGTTTGTTTTTTATTGTGAATTTTATTTTTTGTAATATTGATTAAACGAAAAAATACTGGAAATGTTGTATTTCTTTCTGTTTGTGATATCAAAAAATGTTTTTAAAAAAGGTAATTGTGAATTTTAGTTTTTCTGTAATATTGATGATATGAAAAATACAGCATTTTTGGTTTTCGTTTTTTCAATATTTGCACTATGAAAAAAATACAGCAAATATTGTTTTTCTGCAATATTTGCGATCTGAAAATGTTTTGACCAGATGATTTAAATAGCTATATTTGGAAAGAATGAATAATTCTAGAATGAGTGAGGCTAATTCGTTTTTTAAGTGCATCTGCATAGTCTATAAAAATAATTTTAAGAAGCTAAAAAATACTTTTTTATTGTGAAGAGTTTTGTTTGACTATAAAATTACATATTTTTATTATGATTATTGTTAAATACAAATATTAAACAAAACAAAAAGAAAATAAAAAGATACAAAGAGTTTTAAAATATACCGAAAACAAAGAAAATCAAAAAAAGTGTTGAAAGAAAATCAAATCTCTTTGTAATTATTATTAAATAAAAATCTTCAACAAATTAAGATACCTATTGCAATAATGCTATTGTTAAAATTAAAAAGTGAGGATTTAATAAAAATAATACAGTTGTACAATGAACAATGCATACATGTGGGCAAATCTAGTTGTCTAATAAATCTAGAATTAAATATTTTGAATATTATTGTCTCTTTGACCAATTGCTTTGGTTACTCTTTTGTAAGTTGCTAAATGCATAAATGTAAATGAACACGATTTGGCTTTTGCATATACACACACACACACACAGGTTTGTTTTTCTGGTTTATGGGGGACTCTCCATAGGCGTAATGGTTTTTATACTGTACAGACCGTATATTCTATTGCTCTACACCAACCCTACCCCTAAACCTACCCCTCACAGGAGACTTTCTGCATTTTTAGATTTTCAAAAAAACTCATTCTGAATTATTTATAAGCCTTTTGAATTACAGGGACACTCAAAATGTCCTCATAAATCACCTTCTCGTTGTAATACCTATGTCATACCCATGTTATTATACAAATTTGTGTCCTCATAAACCATATAAACATGCACACACACACACACACACACAAACACACATGATAGCTGTCAGTGTAAACGGCTCTTAATAAATATCAAACAGTATCAACAGTGACTTGCACATCAGCTGCGTCACAAAACTTCTCTTCTTTTTCATTGCAGCTGTGAATCCTTCGAGACGGACAGCAGTGTTCGGACAGACAGAGATCAAATGCACTGAGACATTTCATCATATTATCATTTCATAGACTGATAATCGTCCAGAGAATGATGAATATGAAAATATGAATTCTGACTGCATTGCTGGTACGTTACAGGACCCAGATCACGGATCTACATTAATTCAGCTGTTATATTTTGACTCCTTTCATCCTGAGACTGCAGATTCTTCACCTCTCGACGTCTGACTCAGTATTTCTGATTGTACAAATAGTTGAACAAACTGAGTTCTGGCGCTGCTGATAAAATCCAGACATTGTTAATAAAGATTGAGTCCGACATTTTACCATGAAAATAAAAATAAAACTACAGTAATTCAAATCAAATTGAATTTTGTAATTTATTAAAAACTCAAGTGCTCAAGTAACAAAGAAATACGCCCTTTTGAATTACATTAATTCAGTATATAAATGTGAAAATATGTACAGAGATATAATATTCAGCTTTACAGCTAATAAAACAAAATAATAAATAAAGCTGTCACCATTTTAAATCACTGTTTTGGTTTATTCAGGACTGCGAACAGGTTCATCCTGACATTAGATCACGCCATCACTGCTTATGATCGCGCTTCTCTCTGTAAAACCAGTATATGAGCACCACAGCGATGATCATGTCCATCAGAGTCACACACAGCACCAGAACCTCCATCTGCAAGATCAAAACACACACACACACACACACACACACATACACACATACACACACAGACACAGACACACACACACACACTTCATCTTTAGCTGACAACAATCTTTACATCAGACGAGACCTGCTTTGAAAACTTGAATCAATAATTAAATTTTAATCCTACAGGATCAACTTCATGAAGTCTGTAAAGCACATATTCAGGTTATATTTTACCTCACAATCAAAAGAAAGAAACATTAAATTATATTTTGCAGAAATGTCTATTTTTAAGATCATTACCATTTTTCCACAAATTCTCACTGTAATGCAATGAAGATATAATACATTATTTAAAAGTATATTTTTAGGTTTATTTATGCATTTTAATAGAATTTATTGAATTGCCTATAATTTATGCTCATTTCACTGAATGCTCATTTTCCCATTGTATTACAGAAATTTTAATATGCTTAACTGTCATAAAATAGCATCACAATGCAAAAAATATTAATTGTCCTTCAGATAGGCTTGATATTCTTTATGCAAAGTGTATTTTATAAAATAATCTATAATAATTGTAATAATTTTTCATATTATAAAATAAAAAATCAAAATAAATAAATTATAATGAAATACATAATACTTTGTTACAAAATAAAATAGTGTATATATTAACAAATTATTTATAATGTATTTCATCTAAAAAAAAAAGTATTATAATATTATATTATATAAAAATATATATAATTTTTCCTCCACTTTTGATTTTGACCTGCTTGTGTTTTTCTGAGATTCACACAGTTTGTATTTGGTATCTTTCAATCATTAAAAATGTTGACATATATGTATCTATTACTGTCCCATTTGAAAACATGTTTTATGCATTTAATAAAACTCGATGCAAAAGAGTAAATGTGAAGGACAAATGTTCATAACTAGAGGAATTCTTGATTATTATTATTCTACCTTGTTCTGGATGGTATCTCCACCTGGATGAAGATCAACAATCAGGAGAATCGTTCCGATCCCAGACACGAGCAGACACCCGATGTTAACGATGAAACAAGTCTGGAACAAAAACAAGAACGACCGCTCGTACTTTCCAGAAGCTGAATTAATATTATTCAGACACACACACACTAACCTGTAGAAGCTCAGGGTGTTTGTACAGAAGATTCGACAAGATTCCAGCGAAGACAAACTGCAAGACAAACATCAAATGATGGTTACATCAAATGATCCCCATTATTAATAAACATAGCGATTATTTTCAGTGCTGGGGTACGTTACTTTTAAAAGTAGTGCATTACAATATTGCGTTACTTCCTTAAAACAGTAACTAATTACGGTACTTAGTTACTTTTTATTGAAAGTAATCCGATACGTTACTTTTGCGTTACTTTTTAAATCTGGGCGGGGCTTGCTTGTTTGCTTTTAATATAAAAAGTTCTATTTTTGGCAAATATAAAAGCCCTTTCACAACAAAAGCCTCAGGCTGAAGAAAATGTAAACTCACGTCTGTACAGTATACACAGAAGAAGAAAGTTCAACACTCTTCAGCATTAAAAAAAAAGAAGAAGAAATGTTAGTTTATCTTGTGTAATTGTGGATCATCGAAGGTCAGCAGCAAATTGGTTAATAAAATGGGATAAAATACATAAAGGATATTTGTATTATTTAACATATTTAATTATTGCAGCTTTGAGTCATATTCTGAGTTGCTTTTAACTGTTTTTATTAATTTTGAGGAAAACTAAATCAGATTTTTTTTTGTGTGAGTGAGTGAGATGAATTAATGCATGTTCACATTTATTAAAGTAATGTGTTACTTTACTAGTTACTTGAAAAAAAGTAATCTGATTACGTAACTCGCGTTACTTGTAATGCGTTACCCCCAACACTGATTATTTTCTGTAGCGTTTGTGAAATGTCTCTATAATGTCTCAAAATCTCAATTGTAATAGATTATAATGAACATATTCCTGCATGAACTGCGAAGAGAAATATATTGTCAAGCATTTATAGCAGAAGTAATGAAGCTCACCATGATTCCAGTAATGATGGGAACCCGGAATAAAGTCAGGAAATTAAGATTGATCCCGAATGACGCGGCAAATACGACCCCGATCCCAAAACTCAGGATCCCACTGGACGACTGAATGGCCTACAGATGAGCATAAAGCACATTTACTAGATACTTCATTGAGACATCATTTTTCTTTGCCAGCTTGGAACAATACATTTTACTTTAACAATAACGATACTTTTACAGTAAAAATTCTACATGATCGGTTTGACGGATGCTCTGAAGAGCATGTCTTGGTCATATTATATTCCAAAATCAAACAAAAGAAAAAGGAAATTATATTTTGCATTAAGCTTACATTTAGGATTATGTTTTTTTGCATTGTGACATTTTAAAGAACGTTTCGACACAAATCCTCACCGTTAATGCAATAAAGATACTTTATTTACATTTTATGAATACATTATAAAAGTTTATTTATAGGTTTAAAGTATGTTTTTAGGTTTGTTTATATATCCTGCGAGACGTTTTTGTACTGTATTTAATTTATGCTTTTTTTTCAAATAAAAACCCCCATTGAATTACAGTAATTTTTATATGCTTAATTATGAAAATAATGCAAGGAATCTTAATCAAATTCCTTAATCAAGCACATTTTCTTTATGCAAAATATATGTATTTTTAATTTAATTTAATTTATTATAATTTTACAAATTTATACAATGTATGTTCTTTTTTTAAGCATATTTTCCATGAAAATTTTTACTGTAATGCAATAAAATATTTATATTTTATTATTAATGCATTTTTTTTATTATATAATAATAATTCGTGTAAACCAAGAAGAAAAAATAGTACTGGTAATTTTATGGACATTTCCATTAACTCTAAACCTCAAAATACAGCTAAGAAATATACAGCACATTGTGCCCTAAAAATGGTAACATCTAAGTTAACTGGTTTCACTCGAGTCAAAAATATTAATAATGCTGAATCAACCTAAATGCATTAATCTATCCCAACAAAACTAACTTTTTTCAGTTAAATTAAGCTTTTTAAGGCAACAAACTGGGTACTTTCTTTTATTTCTCACCAAATATTTCTGACTGTAACGCTAAATCTAACGTCAGCCTTCAGCCTGTTCTCACTTTGTGCACCTAAAATCAAACACTTTTAATGAAACAAAAGCTCCTAGCAATGCTCTAGCAACCACTGCTTGGCCAAACGTTCATTGGCTCTCAGTGGAGCGCTCATATAACATCAGTGAGTCTCACGGCGCAGGTGGCCGGTCCCTTCCTGAGGAGCCGCTGCAGTGCCGGCACGGGGCCCGGCAGAACCTCACTGGCCCGGTAGTACTTGATGAGCGGCCCTTCATCATCACCGTGTCTTCCTCCCGCCGAGTCCTCGTGACTCTGAATGTCCATCTCAATATCTGCCCTGGCCATATTCTGACAATAAACACACATACGAGCCATAAAACACACGAGAAACCGATCAGAATTCATTCCCACACACACATATTTCAACAGTCTACTGATGGCAACATTATCCATTGCTTTAACTTCTCAAAATAATCAATATCAACTTCATTTTTTAAGTCACAAGATTCAAGACACTAGATTTTCAGTTTAATATAATTTGATTTGCACAGCCAATTTGATTCAACTTTAAAATGTGAAAAAAGTTTAAAAGTCGCATTTTTTAACAATGCATTCAAAGAGATTTTTACCAGAACAAAACTGCATTTGCATCTGCTTTCTGTTGTGTATTTCATTAAAATATTGTAATCAAATATGGAGTAAACGCGTGAAATGAATTTAAGTTTCATGTCTGTTTGTAAATATGCATTAAATCCTCATTAAAATGTACTGTAAAAATTATAGAATTAATAGGTCAGCATGTTTTTCTATTACTTTAACTCATAAAATTACATTTCAGTATAAAAAGGCCTACTTGATTCAACTTAAAAATTTGAAAAAAGTTTAAAAGTTAAACATGTTTAAAAAGTTGTAATTGATTTTTACAATGTATTCCGAGATTTTATACAAGAAAAAACTGAATTTGCATGTGCTTTCTGTTGTATATTTCATAAATATTGTAATCAAATGTGGAGAAAATGCGTGAAATGAATTTAAGTTTCATGTCTGTTTGTAAATATGCATTAAATCCTCGTTAAAATGTACTGTAAAAGTTATAGAATTAATAGGTCAGCATATGTTTTTCTATTACTTTAACTCATAAAATTACATTTCAGTATAAAAAGGCCTATTTGATTCAACTTAAAAATTAAAAAAAGTTTAAAAGTTAAACATGTTTAAAAAGTTGTAATTGATTTTTACAATGTATTCCGAGATTTTTACAAGAAAAAAATGCATTTGCATATGCTTTCTGTTGTATATTTCTTTGTATTGTAATTTATTGTAATCCAAGAAATAGGTCGACATGCATTTTTCCATTACTTTAGCTAATTTCAGTTTAATAAAAATAGCATTTAAGTTGCAATGACTTGTACAGCCAAATTGATTCAACTTAAATCAATCCGCAACTGATTTTGTTTACAGTGCCAAAGAGATTTCACAAAATAGAAAGTACATTTGATTCTGCTTTTTGTTGGATATTTCATAAATATTGTAATCCAAGAAATCAAATGTTGGGCAAAAGCAAATAAAACACATTA